AGCATAATTTGTATCTCCTACAGGACCCACATATCCAAGTCTAGCTCCGCTATAGTTAACTGGTTACACAAAACAATAGAAGACAAGATTATACACAATGTATATTTTCTTACCAATAAGTTATAACACCATCCTAACGGCCAAAGGTAAAACTATAATCATAAAATACAAAAAGCATTATTGAAAAACAAGCTCAGGTTGGAAAAGAGAACTAAATGACCTTAAGTTTTGCCAAAGCTGCCAGATCTCCAAGTATACATAGATACAAATTGGTGGATATTTGTTACCAATTTTATAACATATATGCTTGTTTACAGTAGCTAGAAATAAAGATTGACCAACACATTTGGTTGTATCAAAATATGTATATGAGAGTTTTGATGAATAACAGACAATTAATAATTGGGTGGGTTTTTGTCATTCACTTTTTATCGAAAGATTTACAAGGCCATTGCAAGCGTTTCAAAAGCTCCCCAGCCACAACCGAGCCTTTCCTCCCACCCAACCTGCAGCATTCCCCAACCTTACCATACACAACCTTAAAAAAAGGAGGATTTCAAAGTAGACAATGAGAAATGCTCAAGTACCATTTTCTCATGTTATTAGTAATACAAAATGTACTATTTGGACTTCATGCCTCGCTTATGTCTCTCTCGTGTTCATACTTTTATTTTTAAAGGGAATGGTTTCTATAGGTTGAGGCCCTATATATATTATTTATATATGTATGCATATATATATATATATATATATATACATATTAAAAATGCTTATAATCGATTTTGAACAGTGTTTCACCCCACACTGACATGCTATGTCGATGGCGATTTATTGAAAGGAGCTGCAACGAACGACGCGTGGTCCGTTGTGGCTTTGTGTTTTTTTTTACTGCCATGGACATGCTATGCTCGTGACGGGGGTACAGCCACGGAATAGCTAGCTCCGTAGCGGTCCTTAATCCTCCGAAAAAATCCGGAGGCACCGACCTTAGGGGCAAAAATACTATTCATTTTCGCCCATAGGTGTATATATATATATATATATAGAGATAGGAGAAAGCTAACAATAGCTGGCAAGATATAATGAATAGTAATATAGGTGGAATGGGAGCCATCAGATCTTCATCATATGGTACAAAATGTATATCACTGTTTTAATTTTAATTATCTTTTATAAATCGGATCATAATGAAATTTTAGACATGTATACTAAAAATTAGGGCGCACAAATAAAAAATATATTCCAAAATATAAAATGACCGAAATACCCTTGAAAATGATGGGGGTAGTATGGTCATTTTAAATTATTGAAAATAATTTTTTTATATTTTTATATGGTGCGCAATACTGTTAGGTATATACACCCAAAATTTCACATTAATCAGATTTATATAAAAAAATTAAAATTAAAATTAAAATAGTGATGTGTATTCTGAACCGCATGATAAGATAGGAATAACTGCAGATGATCCATCAGTTTCATAAAGTTCGATACTGCCACTGTGATCTAGAAAATTTGGAAAGCTATCAATAGTTTTAAAAGAACTAAAAAGAAGTAAGAAAACCAAGACCAGTTCTCAATAATTTGATAAATATATTTTTCAGAAGGTAAATACAATGGCAGATGAGTTGGCTAACTCGGAATCGGATGCATCTAGGAATAAGTCACAGCTATATGAAACAATAGGTGGTAGTCGTTTTTTGTCCATGAAGAAACATTCCTTATAGTCAAGTATCTTTATTAACAAAAAAATAAAAAAATAAAAAACCACTAAATGGCAGAGGCTTGTCAATTATAAAAGGTACAATCCCTGAAAGTTCACAGATATGTTGCCAGTCTAGAAACATAACAAATACTACTCTGAAATTGATAGATACCACCCTTATGTTTCCAAACCAACCCAATTCTGAATGACAATTACATCTGATTTGGATAACAAATGATGAAGAATAAAGGTTGCATCTCCCATCACAGAAAATAACTTATCCTCTTAATACCAGCGAGCCCTATATTTGCACAAGTTCATATGTTGATGCTCCATTTCTCATTGCATGCCCGAAAAGAATTACAAAAAGAGAATATATTGTAAGGTAAATATGCATTACTGAGAAAACTTCATGTTCTTCCAAAAGACTTGACTATTTTCACTTTAGACTCCCATGTTTAAGATGATAAGCCTTCTAACACATATTAACGTCTAGCAGCATGCCACACTCATCAGCATGCATATAATCCTACACATCTCATGGCAACAAATGTTCATAACTTCACGTGGTTTGGTCCAGCAATACCATGGTTAGTACATTAGAATATTGAAGCATACAAAGTATCCATTCAGTCTAAAACTAAATATTACCTGCAGCTAATCTTAATTTCACAGGGAAAGCAAGGAGACGAGAACTTACCCCAATCCTCCATCTTCACCGTAAAATTTGATACATTATTTCATGAACCAAAAGTTTCAAAATCAATTGAGCTGCTGCGTAACAAGGTGAGGTCCTGCAGGCCCAGCAGGATATGAAAAGCCATTCGTTAACATTAATGATAAAGTTCAAGTTATACTTGTGTCTATTTGAAGCAGTCATTCCAGGAGCATTAACAAGATATTTGGTCTTGATTTATAGTTCTGTGCTTTTTTTCCCCTTTTTGATCTGTTTTTTAAATGAGTAAAGTGGGTGTTTTCTTCATCTTTGCAGTATTAAAGAACCATGCACAAAAAAAAATCAAATTTCCATCCTTTATGTTCCACATTTTCCTATATGAACTCGTACAGATAGTTGCAGCTAACATTTCCTATTTTCTCAAAGACTTGGTAGTGGTTTGTTCACTGTTTTCATTGGCTTGCTGGTACCCCTGTCACAATTGTTAGCTCACAAGACAATGCATCACTTGCTTAGTAAAAGCATTGAAACCAATAGTCCAGAAGAAGCTATTCTTCTATTTGGCTATTGTGGATCAAAATTTAACCAAATATAAGTTCTGACCTTTGTGAGTCAAAAGGATATAATGGCCAACACCATCAGCTAGGAACTAAATCCAGAAAATTCCAATTTTGTTTTTTATAATTGAAGTAAAAAATGTTACTTACAATTTCACCGAAATTCCATACATACTGAGACCTCTAATTTAACCCAGATAATACAATGGGAAAACTCCACCGTCCTTGTTATGTCGTGTTTCCAACATGGATAAAGCACTTCTGAAGCACCTTCCTTTATACATACATATATACCAGAATGCACTATCCTATTGGTGATTTTAGAATTACTCCAAAAATTTTGACAATAGGTCGCCCTTATATTAGTTAAAACTACCTTAATGTTTTCTTTTTTATCGAATTAGGGAATTGAGGGTAGTTGTGAATGAGTACAAAATCTCAAATTTCCAAACTCCCTCTTTGGATCATTGGGATTTTGTGAATCTTAATTTATTTTATTTTTTTCATCCGACTATCACAGACCCAAAAAATTTCTTACAATGCCTACAAGATCTAACTTGGATTACTACTAAAAAACAAGAAGCATGGATATATGTGTACACTCTCACTCCCATGTGCACAAAACAAAGTTGGATACATCTCAATCTATCATTACCCATGATGTTTTTTAAATATGAGTGTTAGAGAACAAATTATGGAAATTTTAGAACAAGACATCTCCTTGCACAGTTAGGTCTATGGCACTTTAAACAAACTGAATAAACTAAATGTTGACTAAAAATAGTTTAAAGAATGAACAACACCAGTCAACCACACAAAAAAAGTGAACAGATGGAGAATTCTTTCACTTGCACTCTAAAGGACGTCCATCAAAGCCTCTAAAAAAGAAGACATACATGGATGTGATGTGATGCACAACAGGAGGCAACTCTTATTGATAACTATATGCAAAGTGTATAGGGTTGATCAAAGCACGTGGGCTAAGAGGGCACATAGGAAAGAGGGGTTAATATTCTTTTGGACTCGCGATTTTGGACTGCATCAGTGTGTATGAGGTATTTTTAGCCTATTATTAGTAAAGGGACTGTAGTTGGTTCATAGTAAGAAGGAACAATAGGTCATATTTAGAAAGCAATGAGATTGCCATGGATGAAATCAAAAAAATATTAGGCAATGATGAAGCAAAGTATAGCCCTTTGAAAATTATAGATGAGGAGTTCGGCAATGATGAAGTAAAGTATAGCCCTTTGAAAATTATAGATGAGGAATGGAACTCACAGCTTATGAGCCCCCTAAACTTAGCAAGGTACTAACTTAACCCTACTCATTTCTACATTGATCATGAGATACACAATGAAGGTGAGTTCATAGATGCAATCAGCCAATGCAACATCGAACTCAACCATGATCTAGTGTCCAAGACAGGTTCTTAATGGATTGAGAGAGAGAGAGAGAAACGATACCGACAAGAAAGACTCAAGAAAGAAACAACAAGCACGAAATTACAAATACTCTTATCTGAAAACTAAAAGAAAATTTTGAGAGTAAGACGACAACTCAATATATTTAGGGGAAATTATTGCTAATATACCTTAATTTTAACAAAATTGGAAAAAAAACCAAAACTTCCCAAAACCTCACCCACACCTTTTTTCCCAATTTTTTGGATGAAAATGCCATTTACACTGTAAAGGCATTGACAGAATTACGATACTTCAAGTACCATAATACCTTGAAAATATATTACAGTACTTAGAGTACCGTAATACTTTAATAGGTATCATTTTATACGGTATTTAAAATACCGTAATAACTGCAATTAGCATTACGGTACTTGAAGTACCATAAAAACTAAAACCCATTTTACTGCCATAAAAACTAACCCATGTTATACGGCACTTCGAATGTCGTAAAACCTTTTCTCTTTATTATATTTATCTCTTTCATATCTATTTTTTTTACGTTTATCTCTTATTTTTCTCTCTCATTCTATTTAATATTTATCTCTTCTTTCTCTCAAATTTTTTTTTCTCTTCTCTCTCCCGTGGATATTTGGCCGTGTCCAAATTGGCACGTAGAGTAAGATTGTAGAGAGAGAAAGAAGAGACAAAAAAGAATAAGAGAGAAAGAAGAATTGATAAAAATTAGAAATGAAATAGAATTGATAAAAATTATGAAAAAGAATTAGAGAGAAAGAATTGATAAAAATTAGAAATGAAATAGTTAAGTATAAACAAAATGGGAAAGGGTTTACGACATTTTAAATGGAGCATTTAAAATGGCGTAAACCAGTTTCTCATAATAATTGAAAGAATAGATCAACATAAAAGAAATTAGAGATAAAATAGATAAATAGAAAAAGCGTTTACGCCATTTAAAATGCCGTAAACCCTTTTCTCATTTTGTTTATATTTATCTATTTCATCTCTAATTCCTTTTATGTTTATCAA